CACCTATGAGGGATCAATGTGGTCCATAGGAAACTATAGACAGATAGACTCTTCCTATCAGATTGGAGGGCATTGCACTCACTGAGGAGCCTTTGTGAAACCAAACCCTAGTTTAAGTACATCCAGTAAAGCCGAGTTATGCGGTACCTGACTCTCCACAGTTTGGAACTCCGATACGCACGAACACTCATAATAAGCATGCTTCATCCCTGCAGGTCTCGTGGTGTGGTGCAGATTCAGGCTAAACTAACCTTTGAACCCGAGAAGGTCAACATCTTTAACAAGGACTGCCAGCGAGGAGGGAAGGAGGTCACCTGCATGTCCGTGACCGTCTGTCTGAGTCTGGACTTCAGGACGAAGACCAGGACGAAGACCAGGAAAGATGTTGGTAGGAGTACACAAACATGTCCGCTTATTCACCTGCGTGGGATTTGATCACCACACTGAACAGGTCCTGCCTCAGGTTCAGGTTTTCCTCAGAAATGACATTTAAATGAATCTCAAATGAGTTTTTGAATCAAATCTAAAAACTGGATCCACACATAGAGTTCAAAGATCCAGAAACATTATTATCACTTTGACCCTCTGATTGAAGGAGAGGTCAGAGGTCAATGGTACTTTCTATATGTTGATAACACAGCACAGTTGTAATGATTATAGTTTCTGAGGATTTTTGTTAACTTTCCACTGACAAATCGTGAAGGCGACCTTGAAGATCTCGGTGGATGGAAGTCAAATTTTAATGGATTGTTGACATGACCCCGCTCTACACCTCGACACCATAGTTCCCTCACTGGAGGTAACTATGCATCATCTTATCTCTGGAACCTGGAGACGCAGCACCCATCTGAGAGGAAAATGTACATCCTAGGACTTGTGCCTAGAGACCTGAGCCCAGCAGCAAAGCTGGACGAGGTCCACGGGTGAAGGAGAAGATGACTTTGAACGGGAGGTTGGCGTGATTCTGTCTTTAGTGTTTGTTATTACAAATCGCTTCCTTCTGTTTTTACATCTGACAGCATTCACACTTTCCTGGAAATGAGGTCGGCCGCTAACAAAAGCCAAATTTGTGTCCAAGGGAAAAAGGTAGCAGCTAATCTGCTGTTGTGATGTCATAGTATGAGATCATCCTGGAGTAGTTCATCCAGTCTCTCTCCGAGTTCACGTGTCATTCAGCTCCCAGCTTCTATTTTCAAGGAAAAGACGAGAAATATGAATTCTTCTTCTAACAGCTGTGCAGTGTTGCAGCTGAGTGGACGCAGCTGTTTTCTGTCTGCGTGGAGGGAAGCTTGTCGTGGTCGCAGAGGCCCGTGCTGTTGTCGTGTCTCTGTGTGTAACCAGCTCCAGATGTTTGGGCCGGCTGCGTGGAAACCTCCGTAACATGCTAACGCCAGCCAGCTGTTTAACCGTGTCGCTGCTTCTCTCTCCGTCACCTCAGACCTTCTTCACGTCTCCCTCTCCTCGACCTCCTTACTGCCCACCCGCCTCCCTAAGCGTCTCGCCTGGATTGGACGTTTACAGAAACACAAACACGAGCGTGGCTCAACAGATCGAAGATCTGAGCCGCAGTCTGAACCTGTGTTTGATTGGACTAAATATCGACCCGTTTTTGTCAGTGTGGACGTGGCGTTTCTGACAGCAGCTGAGCAGCAGCTTACCTCGTCTGTCCGCGCTCTCATAAATCAAACTCAGTTGTTAAACAGATGAACACGAGCTCTGCAGTTGCACTTTAAGCTGCTGCATCCAGCAACTAATCAGGACGCAGGAAATGCGTCGCTTCATTACTGTAGATCAAGCACTAAAACGTAGTTGCTGTGTTTTTGCTATTATGAAAGTTTCTAAAGGCTCTCAGACTGAAGAACAGTTTGGCTGCATGCAGTTTCAGACATTTGCTGCACACAGAAGAACACACACCGGCAACGTGTTTGTTAAAGCTCACGAAGGTCCAGATAACAGACTGACACCAGCTGCATTGTCAACATATTTCTTTATTAGGATCTGCTTTCGTTTTGCCTGAAAGCACGATGAGTCCCGTACATAAAAACAAACATCAGCACTGAAACTTCATGAAAAGCTATGAAGGCAGTAATACAACCACATCTGAGTTCAACCTTCACAGGTTTTGTTTTTATGACTTAATGAAGAACCTGAATCAGACCCAGGATCAGGGAGAAGCAGCTGCCTGCTAGTTTGCAGGATCCAGACTCTTCCTCTGGATGGCATTACCTCCAGTAACACTGTGAGGAACCTTGGAGTCAT